ACCTTCATTTTTCCATAATTTTGAATAGCCTGGTGTTTAGTTGCGTATCAGGTAAAACCATTAAATTTCAATTTGTACCTATGATTCTTTATTAATCACTTACCTGCCTCTTCTTAATGCACTATATTCGAAATAATCTCAAAACTTTGCATACCGTGTAGTATGTTAGAATATTAAATAAACAAACAAACTATTAACACTATAAAAGACACTAGTGTGGTCTTGATTCTTCCGTTGTTCCAGTTAAACGTCACTAACTTTTCTTCAGCTGCTCCCAATAACAACTAACATATAAGCCTAGTCTATTAGAATCACTGTTTTTTTTCAGTTTAATTCCTAGCATTTGGAGCTCCATTTCACTATTCCACCTGCACGCCAGTTGTGTCTCTGGTTGATGTGCGTCCACTAAATTACAGTCTATTGGAAGTAGGATGCCTACGAATCACGGTTGCCAACTTATGTAAAATTATATTTTCAGAATTAAATCTGTTTGATTTCTGAACTATTTAATGACGCTGTCAGCAGATCAAAATAATAATTCATCTACAATTAATTGGAAAGGCTAATGAATAAACAGCCGAGCCGAGATTCGAACCCAAAGTCATCCAAATAATTGTAAAACAGGAATGTTAACCATTCGGTCGCGACGTTTTATACTGCAGTTGTGGCAGTGTTAAACACGTTACGACAGTATTTTTTGTGTCGGAGCTGAGTAAAACAAAGACACGGAAGCCTAAAAAAACATCGATACATAGATGCACAGTACATAAACCGGAATTGCGAAGATCATATAACATCGTATGATAGAATTATCAGCGAATAATAAATTGGAAACAAAATACAAGGGCGTGACAACCCACACGTCTAAAACAGCTCGATCTACCGGATCGAACAAAACATGTGCTCCCTTTGGCAAATGAAAGCCCGTCCTTCGAAATAATATGTTCTAGTGATAATAATAATAATAATTAAATGACGATGACAAGTCTAAAACAAAGAAATTACTTAATACTTCGTCGTTCACTGGGCTCTGGGAGAGGTCCCATGTCCAAATCTAAGCCCGAAGACGTCTTATCCGAACTAAGGTTTACTGTGATTTTACTCAATCCCTCCAGGCAAATATGAGGATATTATCTTAAATTAGGCCACGGCCACTTCCTTCCACATATTTTCGCATTTTTCTTCACTAACGCTACAATAATTAGACGAGATATATGTCTGTGTGTCGTTAAATAACCATAAATAAATTAATAAATTTATTGGGATAAAAGCATAAAGTTTTCTTGCAGTCGGAAATATTCTGTGGGAAAAGTTATTTTCATTTCAGTTCCCAAAAGAGCCATTTTATCTTGCATACTTCAAAAGCATTATAAAAAAATACGCTTGGTTTAAAATTGTGTTACTTTCCTTACTTTTCAGTAAGAATACTGCTCTTAATAGCTAAGAATGACGAAGTTAACGAGGAGAAAATATCAGACAATACCGGCAGGAATGAACTAGACGCAACGCAAAGAAAAACAGAACAAACACGATGTTGTAGATTTGATTTGAGAAATTACTGGGCTGCTTTAAGACATGTGATAGGGCACTTCCGCATTTGTATTCCGCTGTCGCGATCATCAGAAACAGAATTCTGTCGGTCTAAACGTCGATTCAGCATTTCAATATTTGCGTGTCAGATGTAGCAGCGACTAGACTCTGAAGACAGCCACAGAAAGCTAAACACGAGGCGCTGGGCAAAACCACTTAGCCTGCAGATATTCCTCCACCACCTCTATCAATTTTCCCTCGCAAAATTTCCTTCTCTTTCTGCAGTGATTCGCATGAAATGGGAGGCTTTTGTTCAGTTGAAATCTGGACCTTCTCAGTGAAGAATGCGATGCAAGGGGACCAGTTTCATTCCATGCCTTGCTTACATTTGATGGTGTGAGTTCTGATGGAGAGGAAGACATAGTAGTCTATGAGACTTCTCCACGCAGAAGAGTGTAGATTCTTAAAAGGGATGCAAACTTTATTGAAGAGTTAAAAACTCCACTTTTCCTGACATGGAGACGTGGTTGCCTCTTAGACTGGTATCAAAATTGAAAACGAAATCTCTTCTCCTCGGCAGGGAAGGTCTTCAAGCTCCAACATTGAATTTTGTTCGACAACTTGAGCGTAAACTGGGGTACAAAAGAAAATTAACATCACAGCACGAAGCTAAGTGTTTGCTTACACTGTTTTTGAGTTATGGGGTTGTTATTGCCACTTCCCTTTGCGTCTTATAATTTTAAGACCAACATAAATACTGCAAGATTTATATCATAATGGGACTCGGTTAAGTCGGTCCTAAATTGTAAACTTCACTTTGTTTTGACCTAGACATTAAAATGAGTTGAATGATAAATTGAACGTTCTAGCCGTTTTAACTGAGGGTAAATTAGGTTCATTGTATAAAAGTATTATGCTATCACATTGTCCGTGTTTTAAAGATGAATCTAAACAGAATCCCATATTAATTGCTAGAATATAAGTTTACAGCAAAAAGAAAAGTAATATGACCTAAGAAATTACGGAAGGACATACCTCAAATCTAAAAGCGGGTTAAGTCGAATGACGTAAGTTGTAATACTGACAATGATTGTCCATATTCCTATTAGTTAGCTCACGAGAGCATAATATAGCATAATTACTAGCGTCGACACTCATTCGACTTTTTCTGTGATATTTACAAGCTTGTTCGTACACGGATACAATGTTTAATAAACCACTTGGCTCACACGCGTGACGGGTGCTTCTTTAATCGAATAGCAAGTGGTCATTTGTAGTTTATTTACGAATTATCTTTTCCAGTTCTTCTCTTGTTTCATCATCGCTACAGACACTTTCCTATTTTCTCATTGTCCGTCGTGTCACGTAGATGTTTTAATTTAAGTTCGGTTAAGTTAAGTTACATTATGTAGAGTATATTATTATTTTTTAAATCGAATAAACAGATACAGTTGATATTAACGTCTGAAAAAAATTTATAATCAGTGAATCTTAATTGTAGAAACATAAAGTAAATTTTTACTTAGCTTAATCGAAATTCTAGTAGTGGTATTAATGATGTGTCCTTGGAATAATAAAATTAAATCATAAGGGTTTGTCTACTGCAAAGTAGAAATTACAACAACAAAAAATTTAAAAAAAAAAAAGGCCTATGAATGTCTATGTGGAACAGGTGAGCTGGGTTCGTAATTCCTAATGTGAGGCTGTCTGTCAATACACGCATGTGGGTCTGTATTATTTTATTTATATGAAGCACTATCCAGAAACAGAAGCACAGTTTGCATATTCATAAGCCTGTGTTACGTTGTCATAGCCTGCGTCTCTTTTGATTACCGACATCCCGGTCTGGCGCGCGCGGTCAGAAGGGCACTGAACACAAATATCCAGCCCTCGCATGGCACGCATATCAAATATCGCTCGCTGCATCTCTTTTACGACCATATGTATGCATGAATGTGGGATGTGTTCGTATAACACATTCTCTAGCCCCGAGCTGTCCAGATGAATACTGAAGCTGTATAACTTTCGATTGAAAGAGCACATTTCTAGGCTCGTTCAGAATGAAAAGTTTCAAAAATGCTCCTGTTGGCTTCTCCGTGTTTCCCTGTCTCTTTGTCCACAACTCGAGAATTGCAATATGGATTTTAATTACATCGATATTGGCAAATTAGAGACATTCTAGTCTTAGCTAATATCGGATAATAATAACGGGACACATTGCATAAAGATGTGCATACATTTATGTGAACATCTCAAGCGAAACGCTTTCTCGAACTGCGAAGGTTTCGATAGAAAGTGAACAAAAATGAGATTTATGTCCCAACACACTTTTTGTGTTTTGTATTATTGTTTTTCTGCGTCATCTCAGCTCGAGAAATATATATATATATAATGGAGATCCCTGCTCGTCCACATTTTTACGCTATGCATGAATATCTTAGCTTGTTATATACAAACCTGGCCAACTCTGGAAACTTTTATCCCATAATCCTTCATTTAAACCAAAATCTCTATGAAAAACTGTTCAAAAACATTTTCAATACTCTAGCCATAATAAAAACTTGGTTGATTCTCGTATTTCAAATACAAAACATCCTAAGTTGTTACTAACTACTCGAAAACCCGTCTCTTTCTCTTCTCCATTTCGTTTGCGTTGAGTGTGAAGGGAAAAACCACCTTTCCTGAAAATACTGGAATAATAGAAGTTCTTGTAGTAGTACTTCTTGTGAATTTGTCTCATGTCTCCACACCTGCAGTTAACTTGCCCGTGAGCTAAAAGTAGGTACTTACGACACCACATAGACCCTACTGTAGTGTTTTTTCACTGAAATCCCAACAGTGGGCAGCAGTGTGCAAGTAACGCCGCACCAGTGCTACCAAACAACATTTACTGAATAGTCAATACAAAACGGAAGGCATTTCTGTATCTGGGAGATCACGGGTTCAAATCTCACCTTGGAGAAGTGCTGTCCTGAGGTTTATGTGGTTTTCCTCCGACCCTTCAGGCAAATATTGGGATAGCAACTTAAACTAGGCCATGACTGCTTCTATCTATAGCTTCCCTAATTCATTATTCATTAATATGAGTTACTGACTGCATCATTAAATAAAACCAGTCTATTTTCAATGGCAGACAAGCCTACTCTCAACACAATGTTTCTGACCAGTTTCAATTTCTGTTCTGTAAAAATGAAATACTGTTTGTATAACCACAAAAAAAAGTGTTGGTAAAAGCAAACTTTAATTACATGGTCAACATGTACGTGAATTAAAAAATAAATACTTTTTCAAAAACATTTTCACATAAATTAGTTTTATGTTGGCGACTCCAGCTTGAAGCTCAAAACAAAGATCTACACTGTGACTGTATGGGAGAGTTAGGTTAGGTGCAGACTGACAAATACCAAGTTTGATTTCCCTTGTCACAAAACATGTTGGAAAGGAAAGGACTTGCAAGTAAATCACATTCATTCAATTCCCTCACGTAATATAATATACTTCGACACAATAACAAGTTGTATTCCAGTTACAGACCTGTATACCAGATACAAACGTTAGCATATATCTGTGCCCAATGCATTTTCCTTTTGTTATTGCAAAGAGACTGGGCATTAAAATTTGTTCAGCAACCTAATCTGTAAATATTTAACTCAGACCTTAAAAGGTCACTTTCCATAAAAAAGTAATTCAGTTATTAAAAAGTTTGGCAACAGCAAAAAGAGCCTTTGACAAGCAAACAATATATTCCCACATTAAACAAAAACAAATTCAAACTAAACTAAAAAGAAACTATTAGTCCAAACACTTTCCAAAGAAACAATAACCCAAATAAATAGATAAATAAATAAAATACTTGCACCCCAACTCCAAAATGATCATATCTACTTCGTATAGCACAAATAAACCATTTCCCAAAAGACGTATACACATACATATTTTTGGGACCGCCTATATATTGCAGAGAGATGTGTAAATTCACTGCGTAAGCAAATGTACATTCAGTAGAGAGGGATTCAATTATGTCGAGGTAAAAAACCTTAAACTGTTTGGCATAGTTGGAAACTTCTGGGTGCGGTGAATGAATCCTTTGATTTCAGACCATCCACAGTAGGAAACTGGTGATGGTTTGTGCACAACGCAATTCTTCAATTGAACATTTGCATTCAAACAGGAAGAGATCAGGCATATAGAATAAGAATAAGACCAAACTGCTTGGAAACAAATAAATAACAATAATAGTTCAGAATTTCTTTTTCAATGTCTACCACAGAATGACAAAATGTATGATAATGCTGTTTTTTTTACACATTTACACACATTCTTACATTTTATGATTACTTCTACCAGACTACGCGGTGCAATAGCCCAGAAGACAGCCATCTTCAGACTCGATACCATGAAAACCCCAAATCTAACTAAATATTTCTCTGTCACTCTTCTTGCCCTTCTTGGAAATTCTAAATCTCAGTTTTGGTTCTGTAAAGAAAGAAACACAGTCAGTAAATCAGCAAATTCATCTGAAATGCTGGTATCTACCTACAAGTCCGCACTGCATTACAACCCAGAAGACCATCTTTTCTATGAGAACCTCAAATGTCATTCACATGATCTTAATCTCTAACACTAATAAATTTCTTTTTCCTTTTCATTTCTGAATTCATAATTTAAATTCCATACTTTTATTTCAATTTAGCACATATTCATGCTTACTTTTGTTGAATTTAAAACATTACATACTTCACATTGGCTCTTTAACCACTACCCTAATTATTGCAAGATATCTCAGGCTGAAGATTTCTGCAAATAAAAAAATGAACCCAAGTTACATAGGCACAGTATTTGTATTGCAATTCATTATTACTGAACCGAGCTCATTTGGGTTGTAAAGAATGTACGTATATCAGGCTCTAGATGCTCGTACAAGACAGACTACCGTAATTTCATAAGCCACATGCAATTATATATTTTTACACTAAACAGTGTGCAAATAGGAAGACTTCTATCCTTCTGTAGCACATGTCTAAGTTCCTGCACTAACTTCAGTGTTATCTGTTAATTTTTATAAACAAAGGAAAGTGACCCAAAATAACTTTGGATAATAATCATAACAAATTTTTAACTAATATTCTGTACATTACAATTGCAAATGATTCATCAAAACACAACAGTAATTTCATTTCTGGGTTTATTTAGTAATGTGAAATTTTAAAAGGAACTTTTGGATCATATTTTCAGAAAAAAATTAATCATGGAAAGAGTTTGTGTTATGCAGGCTACACAATAAGAAATGAACACAACACAGAAAGGATATTTTTATTGTTTTGGAAAAATGTAAATATATTTTTAATGCTCAAAGAAATAAGAGTTTGTTCTTTAAAACTGTCCAGCCACCCCCATTCTAACTTCAGACATCAGTATCACAAATATTGATTAATTTACATTAAACTCAGCCTTGTACTCGCACTATATCTACACCAACAAGACGGCCAAATGAACTTGTAAGGTGTGAACGCTTAATGCCATTTTAACATACAGCTATAAGGTGCTGGGCCTGAAAGTTGTGTGTATTGCTCTTCTACGTCTGAAAAAAAAATATCCTGGCAGAGTTACAAATTTCAGACATTTTCTGATAAAGTATTTATTTTAGAAACCTCATTATAATCTACTAACTTCACAACCCAGCACAGCCACCACATAATCTCTCTGTTTACTCACATTAACATTTAAAAATGAACTACGAGCAGGAAGACAGAAATGATACTCCAAATTGAGTGACCCACTAAAAATGTTTATCCAGATTAAGAATAACAGAACTTACCAAAATGTCACTTTCATGTATCACTCCTTATGAGCAAAGTTGTAAAGGTAGGAGTCAGAATCGAAGTTGTAAAGGTAGAAGTCAGAATCAAAATAATTTTCAGCATCATCATCATCTGTAAACAATGAATGGCAAGCCCAATCTAAAAACATTCATTTTTACATTATTTGTTAATTACAATACCCATTAAAGTGCAAGTGTATTAAAAGCGTAGGATTTGAGGATCTCACGACAGTGAGTACAAAGATGACTGTCTTCTGGGTTGCAGCGCCATGCCATTAGAAGTTTACAAGCGTTTCAGAGGTCCTTGCTGCCTCCACCACCAGGGCAATTGCTGAAACCCAGAAGACAGCCATCTTGTTGAATGTAATCAAGACCAGTTACCCCAAACATCCCTATAACGAAAATCTTCAATAAGTGGTGGTGGGAAGCAATGGTCAAAGACAAAACGTGGTCGACAACGGTAGGTACGGAGGTCTGAAAAATCCACTTCAAGTAATGGGTTCTTTTTCACAGCAGAATATTTGCTAACCCTGGTGCCTGAAAAAAGTAGAAATCCTTGTTACATTTAGGACTGTATCTGCCTGAAAACAAATGTCACTGTCTTTTAACATCATTAATCTGAAATCATAAAGCCAGAGTTCTACACTGGAACTGCCATTCTGGATGCATACATCCTCTTCATCTATGTTATTTTCCATGTCCATTCCTACAACAAAAGGAACAAAGAATATTATTTCCACAGACAGAAATAAAGGGTACACTATTACAGTCAAAATTACCCAACTTACCTCCCACTACCAATGTCAGCTTGACGCTGTTGGTTCGCAATTTAACAGAATCCAACGCCACCCTAACGGTGGCATCAGTCACATGATCACACCCGCTAAAGTCGAAAAGTTCCAATTCATTGCATGAGGTTACCACACTGAAAATACAATTCATGTTAATATTAGAATTTCTAAAAAAAATCATCTGTAAAGAGGAAATTTTATAATTTACTTGGACCAATGCCACAATTCAAAACAAGAGCCCACCTGTTGAACATTCACATATGCCACAAAAAACCAGGTTATGTTTTAATAACAATTGACACAATGGTGGAAGTATAAATAGTACTAAATGTACCCTGCGAATCATAAGCCAGTCAAGTCTGTTATACGGATTAGTTTAGTGTTACAGTGTTTGGAGAGTGCAGTTTTTCTGAAGAACTGCTCAGAAACCATCTGGCTGTCAATCCTCAATGCGTTAATTTCTCATATCCATCCCAAACAATTCAGAAGGAACAACATATGCTGACTTTTTGTATATCCAAATTTGAGCAACAATACATTAAAATAAAGATATAGGAATAAAGCAATAAAAATTATTTCCTCCTCAAAATTAAACGATGAATTAGTTCCTACACGAAATTATTCATACAAAGAACAAGTCGGTTAAACATACATCTGAGCAGCAACAGATGAATGTAGATGAGAATATCTACATTGAAAATGTGGTTTATGTACCTAATACAATAAACGTTTTGTAGTAAATAACGGAATTTCTAAGTCTGCTGATCAACTATGTAAATTACCAACAGACAAAAGCAAACTGATACTGATGAAATAATTATGTACCTGATACAAGCAACATCTGTGAAAGTTTGACAGCCTCGACAAACGAGCTTCCGGAGTTTTCCTTTGCTTGCTACAGCTTCCAATGCTTTGTCAGACAAACTTGGAAAATAACTCATAGACAGGTCAAATAAATTTGGCAATGCTGCCAAGCTTCTCAAGCCACTGTCTGTTACATAACCCGTATTGCGAATACGTTCATTGCAACCTGAAAACAGAACCTCCAACAGAACAGGAAAACACATCAATCCAACCGTTTACATTATATCTGGACAGATGGTAATAAAGCATATGTAAGAAGGCAAATTTTCAAAAGAGGGCCCATCATCTTACCAAAAATGTTACAGTTTTACTACAAACATTAATTAATGTGGAACACATGAAACATTTCTACACAAAACCTATAAAATGACATTATTTATTATTAACTGCAAATGGGTGCTACAATAAGACACAACAAAAGAATAAGACAAAAAAAACATAAGACACAACAAAACAACACACATCACACAAAATAAAACAACTCATAAGATTACAAAACCATATAACCTAAAGTACATAACTTAAAAATTAATACCAACTAGACATAAGACAGTAACAGTAATGAATTACATACGTCATGAACTGATGCACTCACATTTCATCAGGAACTTGTCTTCACTTCATTACACTTACGAAGCCTTCCCATCCTCACCCCAATTTACCCCCCTTCACTGCACCCACTCATGTATTCCCTTCACTCCACCTTATTTATCACTTTTCTAACCTTCTTCCTAAAAGCACTTGGTTTACAGGAGAGAGTCCCTAAAACATCAGCAGGTAGCTGGTTCCAGAGTTGGATGGTCCTATTTACAAAGGAATATTTCCCGATATCTGTTCTTTGCTTTCTGCTCCTATTTTCCGAATATGATCGACCTTGCTCAGATAGTATGGCCTTTGCAATCTGTTACCTATAGCCTTCCATGCCCGTTCTCCCGTGTACGCTTTGAAGAGAGCACATATACGTGCTATCTTTCTACGCTGAGCCAGGGTTTCCCAGTTCGAATCGCTCCTATGATATGCAAATTTACGTGCTTTCTTTTGCACCCGTTCTAACTCATTTATCTGCCCCTTCCTTTAAGGATCCCAGCACGCCGCCCCATATTCCAGAATCAGACGCACTAGTGACGTGTAGGCTAGACTTTTAGTGTTACTATTCCCCTTTTTGAGAACACGCATTGTAAAATGAAGTGCCTTCCAGGCTTTCTTCACCGTATAGTTTACTTGATCAGCCCAGCTTAAATCTTAAGAGTATTCCCAAAAAATATGGTATTAAATCCGACTAGCAAACTAGTTTCTTCACAAATATTCCACTGTAAGAACATGTTATAAATCCATGTATCATAGCAAAAAATTAACAAACATTCAGATATCATGTTCCCCACACAAGAGCTCTAGTTTGTAAGGTATCAAAAACACCTGCATCTATAAAATCCCTAAAGACAATGTTCAACAACCTGCCAGGAATTCTGACAGGTTTCTGAAGAAAATATTTTACAGAAATTTCACAAAATTCCTTAGTGGCAACATCTACACCAAGCATGTCAAACTCGCAGCCCACAACGAATATTTTTGTGGCCCAGCCAATATAACGGTATGTAAGAAACGTTTTAATAAAAATTTCGTAACTTAATTTTTACAATATCTTGTTATACATAATTATTAATAACAAACTACAACGTTCGCCAATGACTGATTACTATAATCGTGTTTCATCCATTTCCCTTACGCGCAGGCGCACAATTTCCCCCCACTAATACTAGCAGCGAATATTTTAGCAGCCGATTATATACCTACTACCACGTGCCAGTGCCACGTCATTAGTCTTGTACTGACTTGAGAGAAGAGATGCCAAGTGTTAGGAAGAAAACATTAATTTTATCGTTGTTCTTGTTCTTTTTTTTTATACTATACTTTTCGAAATAAACCTACGTTTCTATGAAAATTAAAGTTTTTGTCTTTTTTCGGCCCACATAAACTTAAACCTTGTTTATTTGGCCCGTGTTAGCCTTTGAGTTTGACATGCTTGATCTACAGCCCCTGTATAAACCAGACATACAGCTTGAGATTTGAGGTTCTCATGGAGGTAGACTGAGTTATGATGCAATGTGGTCCCGTAGGTTGTTATTAACATATCAGAGGACTGTTCATAACTGCCTATAAGTCCACACATTATCACAACCCATGGGTTACAGCAATAGTTCTATTTCTTGTTGTGCATGTACAAAATTACAACCTGACACAAAAAAATGTAACGCACCCGTTATGTTGAGTTTTTCAATCTTGAGACAACTTCTTGTGATGGCATCCATGATCTGGTCATTAACAGCATAATTTTGCTGAAGATCCAAGCTAATAAGGTCATGTAGCTGACCCAGTGCTTCGACAACCGTAGAATTGAAGCTGAAAGACTCTGTCAATGACAATGATTGTAGTTTTGGGGCAGCACCGATGATAACTGGCACATCTCTCAAGGACACCCTATCACAAGAACTGAGGCTAAGGCTTGTAAGACTCTTGAGTTCACGAAGTACACTTACAAGATTCCCAGGATGGATACTGTTACATTCATACAGCACCAATTCCTTCAGTGGTGCGTGTGCCAGGAATCGAAGACATTTTCCTGTCACATTTTTGTTGCGGGATAATGTAACAGATTCCAAGTGTTGACAACCTCGAAACATTCTCCGAAGGTCTTTATCAAAAACGCCTAAACAACAATCCAAGTTGAGCACTCTCAGTTCTTGACTAATGGTTAACAAAAACCTGAAGCCAAATGTAGTTACTGGCAAACCACCAAGATGAAGGCAGCGAAGGTTTTTACAGTAGGTAGCTGAAACAGTAATTAAAGCTATAGTTTATTTATAATACAAACATAATTTTTATTATTATTAGTGTTCTGTCTGACGACAAGTCCATATGAACAGGATCCTTCCATCCTTTTCTCGGACTGGGACCTGTTCATATACGTTCTTGGCAGATGATCCAGAAGTGGTTTGCCATTGCCTTCTTCTGTGTGTGAATGGAGTAATTGTTGGGATGCCACGGAGAAACTGGGGAAGCCCCACATTGCCTAGACCACGGCCTTGCCAAACACAAGTTATAAATTCGGGCACCGCTGGGAATCGAACCCAAGACCCCAGGATTACAAGGCCAGCGTTCTAACCGTTAGACCGCCGTGGTGGTACAAACATAATAAACTAACAAAATTAATTTTAAACAACGCAGACTTATTAAACAATGTACCAACAAAAGCAATAGAATATTTCTTTCTTTCAGACCACAAATTGAAAATGCAATGTATAGAAGATGCAGCTGTAACCTACCTTACTTTTTCATGACAAGCTATATTGCATTTTATAGTTTAAGTAGGTTAAGACACTGCAAATAAGCAACTAAAAGGTCAAGGCATTGAAATATAAAAATCATGTGTGCATTAATAATCTTATATCCCCAATTACAGTAAAATATGTCAGAGGAGTTACAATAAAAGGTTATCAAAAATGGCCACGTTATAAGAAACACCAAACATTGTTTATACAAAATGTAACATTTACATTACAATTTACATCAACCTTGTGGTGTGTGAGTTTCTGTCAGAAAGCCTGGTTTCGAATGTGTCACAGTAGTACTCTGACAGACATTCAGATTAAGTCAATGAGAGTTAATTAGAAAAGCATCATCTTCTATATAAATTCACTCACCGATAATTTTATGTACTGAAATATTTAGGCGATGAGGCCTGTTAGCGAGATGAAGACTTTGGAGATTTCTACCACATCGTTTCAAAAATGCCTCAAGTATTGGCATATCGAGGTATGATTCAGATGACGAAGGGAACGGCAAAGTTTCAGATGACGAAGGGAACACCGAAGTGAAATCCAAGTGTTTCTGGTATAGCCACATGTCCAAGCATACCGCTTTCCAACGTTTGCAAACTGCACAAAGAATTCAATAACAAGATTATTTAATACAAAACAAGTAAACACTAAGAACTAGCATTTATTATGTATGAATGGGATTCAGAAAATGAGGGTCATAATCTCATGGGGTCTCACAAACAACTTCTCATGTTAACAAAAATTACTTAAATTATTAATTAAGTACAGTTATGGCAAGCAGTAGCAATGCTCACACAGCTTTTCTGCCTGCTTCCCTCCCACCAATGGTAATGCACATGTTCTTGGATTCCCCAGACTAGAAATGTTGTTATTGTGTTGTACAAACGGAGACAACGGCACTGGCTCGTACACCACCAAGGGAGCGAAAAAATTAGCAAATTACAGAAACTATTCTAATACCAACAATATTCCCAAACAAAACATCAAAAGACAACACAGAATTCATTTCAAAATCATCAAATGACTCAGAGTCAGCCAGTATTTTCTAAAAGGGATCTTCATCCCATCACTCCACCTACAGCCACAACCAGAGTACCTCAACATTTTATAACCCCCAACCTCACGCAGACAATCAATACAAATCAATATGTACAAGAGAGTTACCAAAACTTCACACAAAACACCGTTAACAATTACAGAAGTCTAAGGCCTGAATTTAAAAGCCCAGCATGAATGTGTTAAATAAATTCTTACCTTATCTTAGATAAACAACTTCAAATTTTATCTTTTGCTTTTATTAACGAAATAAAATTAAAAAACCTATCCCCTTTCCAAAGTAACAGATACAAATGATAGCAGCTGAGTTTAGGATGCTTCTGCGCATCTTCTGTCATGAGCCTTCGTGAGCCATTAAGCTTCACAGTTGGTACATAAAACATTTGGCTGTTTCAAGTACAAAGCAGATGGCATTTGTATCTCGGGGGAGGGGGTATACCACCGAGCAGTGGAAATTCTACGAATTAAACACACATGTGAGAAAATCACATACCTCTCTCAATCCTAAATCTCTCTCTTTTGGTAAGATAGGAGAATATATGCATGAGGCAATCATCATTGAGAATATGGATTTTACACTCTCCCTTCACTTTTTTCCTTTTTACTTTGCCACTCTTTCTTTCTCCTTCCTGTTGCTGTTCAACTGTATCACAGGCAGACATCTGAGAAGGAAGGTCACATCCACCAACTGCCTCACTCTCCTTCTCATCATCCGAAGTAGACTCACTCCCTGAAGAGATCGTGCATATCTCCTGACACTGGTCATGCTTCCTACCATGGGAATTTGACTTCCACAAGACTCTTCCATCTGGCAGTTCAACTGGTTGGTGCCAGCTGTCAGCTGGTGCCACATATAAAGTCCGAAGATGAAGCCTCAGCTCTCCATGTTTCAATTTCAACACACTGGAAAACACCAATTCTTTACTTCTTACACTAAAATAAAATGAGTTACTCAACAGTATTAACTAAAGATGGCTGTCTTCTGACTCACAGAGTATTAACTAAATACTGCCCACTTTTATACTGAGCATATGATTGTCACATAACAGTAAGTCCACTAATAAATACAGGCATGCATGCACATGTGCACACAGTGAACAAAATCTAGACAACTGTCTCCTGGCTATGGCAACGATGATGTTCTTCAGGGTTTTGGCACCATGTCGACTGGTTCAGCCCTGAAGATGGACACAGACATTTCTCTGAATTGCTTATATCTACTAACCAGCCAACGCAGCACCAAAACCCAAAAGAACATAATTTTGGTACAGTTGGTTTATTCAGTATTTTGCCAAAGGAAATAAAACCAACTTTGGAATAAAAGAAGGCAGTACCTTAAATGTAATAACTTTTAATTTGCTTATGGATATACTACGTTGACTCCCTTGTGGTCATATTTGAAAATGCTACTTCAGCATTCACATTACACACTGAAAACACATTCCAATTTGATATTTATTACAGATACACTGTACTCTTTAATATATACCACTGCAGGCCGTGCCCAAGTTAGAATAATGGGATTTAAATTAGATGAGGTAATTGATGTAATGTAGAATAAAACAGGTTTTGAATGCACGACAGTCATGCACTTTGTATTTTAAACCAAACTTAATTTATCCACAGACATTGAAAAGAGACAAAGTTCATTTTGTACCAGATTTTAAATCTTGAGACACACAGACCCAGATAAAATGAACAACTGAAATTAATATAAATAATGAGCAATTCAGTCCATAATCTTAAGAATCAAGACTGCCAGTTATTTACACATTTTCACTTTAATAATCTGAGCAAAATATTACACGCAAGAGATTGCTATTTTTAATGTGTTCTATGTACCTTGATGCATCTTCTGGATACCTAAATGTCACAAAGGCATATTTCCTTCTTGTAATATAAACATCAACAACCTCCCCATAGTCACGGAAAAGACGACGTAGATGACGGTAAAATGTCTAAAAATGAAACAAGATAAGCTTCATATAAATCTGTCAGTCTCTTAAGTAACATACATGGCCCTTAAAATAAAATGAAGTGAATCAAACACATATGGTAATACTTGTAAAATAAAATTAATGAATTTTATGTTTAACCAAATTATTCCAAAGGATCCATAAGGTATATGTAAAGCTTTAAGTAAAATCACCCTTAAAATTAATTGGTAAATTAAACATGTATATGATATTTCTGATAAAAGTGTTATACACAGTTTCATTAAGAACTAATGAAGGACTCAAAACACATAACTAAAAGTTCAATTAGGCACTTAAGAAAAGTGTTTCCTAAAGCCATTTCAAATTCATTAAACATATACCAGGTGCACTCTTAATAAGCTTCATTTATATCTACCAACAGAGATATCCACTTTATAATGAATGTCTATATCCTTACATTCTAATTTACATTCACCAATATTTTATGAAATAAAACTTTAATCAATACACCAATAAAACAGTTTAATATCAATATGAAAACATAGTCTTCATACGTAATTTCACATTTACTGGCATCTCTTTCACGTTACCTATGCTTTCTGTGTACGTTTCCTGTTATTATCTTACCTCCAACTCAACCAAAATAGAAATGTGCCCTGCAACTATTCTGAATATTCAAAACATATTCTGCTTACTTTTGATGTGTTCAAAACTTTAACAGTTCCTTTAAATATATATATAAAGTGTGACTTCCACACAAAAATGAAAATAAATAACAATGTTACTTACCCAACGACTTATATTTCCCACATATAATCTCCTTATTGGTGGGACTTTGTTGCTTACTGAACTAGGTGCACTACTATCAAAATCTGCACCTAAAATCAGTATTACATACAGGGTATACACAAAAGAATGGTGCAGTTTCATTTTTGGACATGTTGGAAAGCTGGTTGTTACCCCAACTGAATACCAATTATGACGATTACATTCTACAACTGGACGGAGCTCCCCCCCATTTTCACAGGAATGTATGAGTGCTTCTCAATCGTGTTTTTCCACAGCGCTGGATCAGACGTGCTGCTGCAAATGGAGACAACAACCTTCTCCCTTGGCCACCCCGTTCGCCAGATTTTACACCGTGCGATTTCTTTCTATGGGGGTTCATTAAAGACAGCGTTTATGTACCACCATTGCCCACGTCCATCCATGAACTTCGTGATCGGATAACGCATGCACTGCAGGCCATTACAGTGGACATGCTACACCGGGTCTGGGATGAGTTTTATTACCGTGTGGATGTGTGTCGTGTGACCCAGGGTGCACACATTGAAGGATTGTAATTAACGCATGAGATACTTGGACAGTTGCCGGCACTGACGGTGTATGTTGTGCCCGTGTAAGGCGAGAAATAAATTTTTTATTAACTTTTGAAGCTGCGCCATTCTTTTGAGTATACCCTGTACTTTAAGTAGACCACAGGCTAACCATTTCAAACAGTTTTCAATAGGTATTACATAATCTCAATAATTTCAGATATACATACTGTCAACACAAGGTACAAGTATCAGCTTCATAGACCAACTGCCAACCCCTCATGCTTTTAGAAGAGTGAATATTACACAAGCATAAAAAATTTCAACAGTCTAACATCCAGTCTCATAAATAAATGGGGGCAGTTTAAAACAGCATCAAAAAGATACTTAATGTACAGAAAGAATAACAGTATAAACTACACGTTTACCTTCAGAATCATTGCCTTCTCCAGTGCTATTGTCACGCCTACGTTTACGGTTAAATCTTCCACGAGTAAACTTTGGAGGTGGTAATGGATCCATTCCCAGCACTTTGTGTATTTGACGGAAGGCAATCAATCGGAGTGCATGTTAACCCACGTTTCACTAAACTGCAGTTGCAATTTCAAAGTGGGGGCCTTCAGATCTCGTCACCTGGAAAATTACAACTGTAATGTTTGTCGAAACGTTGGTTAATACCATACATTGGACACAGTTTCACCCGAAGGTATAATTTTATATTCTTTATTCATTCTGAAGCACGTAACCGGATGACTGCCTAATCCAACTGGAGTTTCACAAATTACATACACAAATTAGGTGTTCCGTCACAGCGTCTTAGGATTTCATGTCATTGTGATAAAGTTATTCAAGTATCTCTTCATAAAACAAAAAGAATGTACTTATCCACCGTAAGTTGTTCCCGACAAAACTCCTAAAGCCTCTTCAAATGACTTACCTCTTCTATATGGTATTCCGTCTTGTAGATTATCCTTAAAATTACTTCATACGTACCACAAAATCGGGTAAATGTGCAGCCCGTACGTAAACCATAACATACTACCAACACAATTTTGTCTGTTCTTCAGTGGATGGGTGTTGAAATTGAAAATTTATAACAAAATATCACAGGTTCCTCTCATTTTCAGCCAAGGAAGAGGTGGTCAAACTAGATTTTTCATACTTACACCTAATTATGACCAAGGCTTTTCAAAAATAGGTATATGAACGATATTGGTAGAAACGGTCACAATTTTCAGGAACAATGGAATCTACATCAAATTTGCTGATACAGGCAAGGAATTCTGCATAAGCAGGTGAAGCACAAAGATGCTTGGTCATGATACCACTAGCAGTTTTATTAAATGGTGGGTAATCACTCTTCAGAACATTGTACTGACTTAGTCAATACAAACAGCTGTATTCACATGGAAATAAGGTTGAGGAGTGTGACAGAATGTTCATGGGAATTGGTAGGTACCTTTTATCAGCTAAACAAGTCTTATCTATATTTTCTTCAGCAGACATCACATTACAAGAAGCCACACACAAAAATATACATTCACAAACTGAAAATGCTCTACACCCACTTTTAACATTTGGCTTTCATGTTAAGACTATACTAATCATACTTTACATTCGGCTTCAAGAATGAAACAGACTATGTAGTGAATCTATCTGGCCAAGGACACATATCAGGAAATTCCAATCCAGCACCATTTCTTTAATAGGAACAGTATGCTACCAATGACCCTGTGACAAAAAGATTTGAGTGGTATGCAAAGGTAAAATTCTACCAATTATAAAACATCAGCAACTTTCTTAAATTACAATATACTAGATAAAGTGGTATATTTTTATTCCACAATGGAAAATACAGTGATAAATGGAATTATGTCAAAGGAATGATACCTTGGGATACCTAAAAAAAAGTAACATTCACTGTTTAAACACAGAAAACTCTTCCTATGACTTAGTTACACACCACAAAGTCTAAAACAATTCTGACAAAAATAAAAACATCCCTTGATAGAAAGTGGCTAGTGCTTTATAGATTCAGATGACTAAAGATGTATCAATGTACTAAGTATACAAAACGCCTTATAATATTTGTGGATCATGGCATAAATGAATGGTACTATGTTTGTTAAATGTCAAATGTGAAAGTACACAGGCAGCTGACTGCACTGAAACATGTAAGTGCAAAATCCTAATGAACTGCAAATAAGATGAATGCAAATTGCACACAGCATTACAGGCACAGGAAAAACACTTAACAGATAATATGAGACTTCTCACACAATATTCTATGACATCTTTTTAATAATGATATAGCAACATATTCACTGATGTTTTTATTCACAGATCACTTTCCACTTTTATCTGTCTCCATCTTTTCATCAAGATCTTCCTTTTTGTCTTTTTTGCCATCTCCAGCTGTAAAATAAATTACATTGTGACAAAAATTCTGTAAATCTTCAAAATCTGCACCTAAAATCAGTATTACATACAGGGTATACACAAAAGAATGGTGCAGTTTCATTTTTGGACATGTTGGAAAGCTGGTTGTTACCCCAACTGAATACCAATTATGACGATTACATTCTACAACTGGACGGAGCTCCCCCCCATTTTCACAGGAATGTAAACAGTTTTCAATAGGTATTACATAGTCTCAATAATTTCAGATATACATACTGTCAACACAAGGTACAAGTATCAGCTTCATAGACCAACTGCCAACCCCTCATGCTTTTAGAAGAGTGAATATTACACAAGCATAAAAAATTTCAACAGTCTAACATCCAGTCTCATAAATAAATGGGGGCAGTTTAAAACAGCATCAAAAAGATACTTAATGTACAGAAAGAATAACAGTATAAACTACACGTTTACCTTCAGAATCATTGCCTTCTCCAGTGCTATTGTCACGCCTACGTTTACGGTTAAATCTTCCACGAGTAAACTTTGGAGGTGGTAATGGATCCATTCCCAGCACTTTGTGTATTTGACGGAAGGCAATCAATCGGAGTGCATGCTGAAAAAGGGGAAAGAAAAAAAAAATTTCAATAAAATACCTTCCTCTCAGTTCGCTGGTAACCCAAAGACTGAAATTCCATTAAAAATTTTGGCAGCAAACAAAGAACACTTCAGACTGAATAGTACAGGAGGGCAAAATTAAAATGCACCTGTGCTGAAGCAGTTATGTCCTCCCGTTGTTGAGGCAGCATGTTCCCTGCAGCATCTGATGGATCCTTTTCACAGGGATCCAGAAGACCTGGACCACCTGGCAATAAAATACCAGAAGCCAGTGCTTCCATAATCCGACGTAGCGCATCCCCTGGACTCAGTGGCTGCGCAGCTGAACTGATGACTTTCTCTACAAGCAGTTCCATTGCCTGCAATATATTAATAAGTATGAAGCTATCAATGCTACAATAACCAAAGAGGCTGTTTTCTAAGGGGGAAGGATGCACAATATGTAACTGTGCAAAGGACTGAATGAAAACACGCCCTCTTTTCACAATATTCTTCATGATAAGCTAACATGTACAGTTACATTACTCAGGGACTAAAAATAAATAACAAAATATTGTACACTACACTGTTACATGAATAATATTACAAGTTATATTGCTGAGGTTTCACATCAGGAAGATAGTGTATTACCAACCCTACAGTGATCACATCACGTTGTATAGTTTACTTGGGAAACGTATATTTAGTGAAATGTACAATTCCTAAATATTTCCATCCTATATTTTAGTTTCTTACCCAGCTATTAAGAGGTGCCCAGGTGGGAACTCGCTGACACAGATCTCGAAGGATTCGTATCACCATCACACAACTCTGCAGTCCAGTTGCCCTAGCCTGTGATGGACAATGAGTACATGAATCTACCATGTTAAGAAACTCACACCACACATTTTAGACTTGAACTTTATGGAGACTTTTACCTAACGTTCGTCCTACAACTGATAACGTTTAAACCGATGTGCATGCTAAACCACAAACCCCATGATTCACACTTATTTATAAAAAAAACTTGGCAGTCAATAAAATTTAAACTCCCAAACTAACAAACTGCAAACATACTGCTAATTACTGTTGTTTCTTTGCCTTGATATTTAATAACTAAATTGAAAAGTCTAACATGCACAGTCCTTGCGATAAGTAAGGACGAACTGCGGTATGTATTTACAGCACAAAGGAACTCCAAACCCAATAGAGATAATGCCCTGGGAACAAAGAGGTTTCGCTTTGCGAGCGTTTATTTGCTAACTTTCCAGCCTCATGTATCTCACGCCGACAGTAATGATGAAAAATCAGATCCAGTAGCAGAGTACATAAAACTATTCTCAAATATTTATCCCAGCTACAATTTTAATTACTTCCAAAAACCTTAACTGTACTACCTATTACTGCAAACAGAAATCATACAAGAGAATGAAAATGTGTGGTAGTAATGAACTGTATACTGATAGAAAATACTTCTAAGTAGATGTAGTTAATATCTTATATTAATCATAACATATTGATAAAGTAAACAGCAAGTTTCTGATTTTGCATTAAGTTATAACAAAAATGTGCTTAAGGCATAGGTGAGGAATAATGGCAACACAATGTGTCTTGTTCAGGTGCTGTAATGGTATCTCCAGTACAGTAAGCCATTTATTTTACTTAACCAGTATGTCATATATTACAACACTTAATTCATAAACTTTCTTCAACTTTTGAAGTTACCTTATGCCTATTTTAAATATTTATTGAAACCCAGTGGTAACTGGTATGTACCACATTCTTTAACAATAAACTATTCTACATTTAGTATGTATTTAGCATAAACAGTGATTATTTCCTTAAACAGCAATGACCAACTGATTTTTGCGATGGAAAAATGTTTTCTTTAGGGTAAGGATTGAATTTAAACATTAATTACATGAGTGTCAGCTTCAAAGGGTTAATGAGAACCATTTGAATTCTACATGAAACAGGTACTGATTAAGCTCATGACTTCCTGCACCAACATATCAACACACACTGAAGTTGCCACCTTGTATTTCCATCATCCTTCAAGTGAAAACTAACTACGTTAAACTTCACAGACACAAGGCTGAAAAGTATATTTTTTTTTCTATTTGGTTTTCTTTTGTCTTGATTTAAACATAAAGGAGGAATTCCTTCAAACCTGGAACCACTTGGCATGCCTCAAAGCTGCCAGGGCATCCAAACATTTCTGCTTGTCGAGCACGTCTGGCGGATCCTTGGTTGCCTGCGCCTGACTCACAGACACTGAGTCTAGGGTCGGGGAAGAAAGACGGAAAAACAGCCGATCAGACAAAATTACAAAGGGTGTTTGACCATTGCGGTTTAACACACCTCACCATAGCAGTAAATAAAACAGTTTCAAGTCTAGGGAGTAGGTCACAGAAACAAGACTGAAGAGATTACACAATAGGAATGAAATGATGACCACCTGCTGCTGACGTCACTGGGAAGCTGTAGGTCTGTTAACTTGAAAACACAAACAACACACAATTTTGAACTGAACGTGGATAATAGAAATAGAAGCAAACATTGGAAAAAATAATATAACACATTAAGAAATTGATTTTAGCGTAATTACCAAACCAAACAAATTTCTCTCTGGGTTATATCAGGTAAAATTTAACACATGCTCACTACTATCTCTACCACCTTCATTCAATTCTCAAATCTTACAATTACTACCTTGAAGTTAAAAATATATTACAATTACAAATAAAGAATCACTGCAACCAAGAGATTGGTTATGACCTAAACCCAGTAGCTATGAAACTGTTTTTTCCCGCATGGTCAAAAATCCTTCCCGTTTGTCACAGCGTTCAACGATCCCCCTTCTCGGTGGCTGTAAAGTCGACAGGATACCTAGAAACCTTAGCAGTAAGACAACAGGCTCATGAAAAGAACAAACATTATCAGTGACAAAATTCATCAACCTCAAATATCAAGTAAGAAAGAATAGGAGCATAATCTCAAAATGAACTATCATCCTACCTAAGTATGCACTTAAGGTTTTAGAATTTTATCCTTTTCTTGGCCTGGAATATGCTAGCCTGTCTCTCATACAAACAATCCATGCACCAGGCTAGCATGTTAGGAGAATATCATCCCAGGGGCCACAATGATTTATCTCTCCTTGGAATCATTAAAACACTTCACTAAAATGATTGCTAAGTTAAATCTTTGAACTGGAGAGGAAACTATAGATCTGTTTTTGAAAAACACTATCTGGGCAGCACAAGAAAGCCAAATGCAAATGTATGCTAAACAAGCCTTCATGCCGCACCACCTTGCAATGGGCCCCTGGTTCGCTATCTCTATGATACCTGCATTGCCGATGAGGACTCTTTTTCGTTTTCTTACCACCACTTCCATCCAGAGGAGTCAGCAACTGCTCACGCATAATTGGTGATGTTAGTGTGATGGTAACAGTGATATGTGGCTCTTTCACTCCCATCACGATAACGGCTGCTTCTTCAAGTTTTCGGTGAACCTTGTATGTGTCTTCAGGAGCAACAACCTTCAACATGAATTACATCAAACCTCTCCAGCATACAGCAATCTCATTATTACAGTATGTCTCCAATCCTTACGAAATCAAGTTAGCCCTTCAACGCGGAAATTTAAATACCGCGCTTATACCGCTGTCGTGCTCGCTCTGCGGTGGTTTTGATTGGATGGCCATTTAAATTTTGCTCTAAAACACATTATTTATCATAACGTTTGAACTATATGAGGTATAATTATGAATTTTTCACTGAAATCCTCTTAAAGGTACATCAGTCTAAATGATTACTTGCCAAAATTCTGTGTTTACATATGAAGATACAACGAAAGATAAAATCCATGTAGTGCACTTCATTCTGCAAGTTATGAAAGCAGATATGCAGTGTTGCCACCCAGTTTGAAAAATTTCATTTGAAAAAAAAATGGATTTGTCCACATTTTAAATTAAAACTTAATTATTTCAGGAAAGTGGTGAGAAAATAATGTGCAGTGAAAACAGTTAAAGGTAAACAAGACTCTTCATGCATTAAAAAACGTAAATTCAGTAACAGTTATATGAATAGAGCAGACTTGTGATAACTTGAAAGACACAGGAAAAACAAAGCACCAGAGAAGCCAGAATATTCAACACCGCAAATATGGGAGAAAAGTGGGAATGAGATAAAGCAAAAAAAGTGGAAAATAAAATGATGAATGAGGGAGAAGAAAGAAGGTAAAATAGAAATCATTCTCAACTGAATTTCAATAAGCTTGGTAGTACTGGAAGCATGCCATAAAAGCTACATTTAAACAAAATACCCATGAACTATGAAAGTGTCATACCTGGAGTTGCTTTGGAAGATTCTCAACCACTTTATTGAGCAACGACCGAGTGGGCTTCTCTGCACACAATACGACGAGATTCACTGCTGTATCACCATGCAGGAGTAGACCTTTGGCCAATACCCCCACACGCATTACACCCTTCAGTACACGTGGTACCTGACTGTCATCCTTATCCCGATGGAATGAGAATCTGTAATCAATGTGAAACCATTAAGTGCCTGAAAAGGAGATAAGCAGTTATTCGCCCGTGTGACTAACATCACCTCCCACAGTTTAATGATCATCCACATCTTACAAATACCAAAACTCTTCATACAAACTTCAAATTACCAATACAAAGGTGGGCGGCACAGGCAGATCAGGCATAAATTTTGTCGACATATGAACAACAAAGTGGAATGTCTTAACAAGAAAAAAAAAAGATGGATTTTGTCCAACTTAATTAACACTGAAAGGAATTGCAAGAAATGTAAAACTGTTCAATGTTTAAGCCATACTTCTTGCAAACTTCCATTGAAATAATAATGAATGGTGCGCCACATACCTCTACATCAGCAATGGTATATTCATGTACTATTAATGAACTTTTAAGACAGCACTTATCATAAATAGTTTATAGTCAGTGAGTCTAGTGCAGTGTTCTGCAACCTTTTTCCACCTACACCCTGATACATGATACATGATGAGATGCCACAAAATCCTGCCTCGCATAAGGGGGGGGTTTTATGAATCAATATATGACCATAAATATGAATCACATAAAATCCTTGCCCCATATAAGTTCAAGCATATGAAAACAAAACACAACACATGCTGAATAAAACTATAGATGACAAAACAAGCGTGCGTGCGTGCGTGCATGCACACATCAGAATTCTTAATTACAAAATATACAGACTTTTTCTAACTATAACACACAAATGTACAATTTCACACAAAAAAACTGTGGCACATCTGAAGCCTTACAGTGGCATATCAATGTCAGATCTGGCACTACTATGCCACTTTAACCCACTCCTATATTCCTTCTCTTTCCTTTCCCTCTTGTGCTGTCCTTGAACCATTAAGAAATGGCCGAGTATTATTGGAAACAAAGGGCAATTACACTACGGCAGGAGACGTCTTAATGTCTTAACTATGAGAACAAATCAGCAAAAACTGATATACTTACAGATTCCCATCACGGCCATCTTCCTTCTTTTCTTCTTTAACTGTATCTGGTTTAACCTTCTCTATGGGTTCAGTTTTAATGGTTGGTGTAGATGGTACTGGACCTTGGCCTGCAGGCTTAACTGCAGGTGAGTTTCCAGCAATGATCTTGGTTCCAACAGCAGGTTTCAATTCCAGGAATAGGTTTACCTGAATACAGATACTTTAACTAGGTTAAGTAGTACTTATTATGGAAATTATCAACTTTTAGCAACATTTAAGAGATGTTATATCTCTTTTCCTTGACAAGTTGCTCAGGTACAATAATAGGGAACAAATGATTTTCTTCAGTTATTCATCAAAGCGAGCTAGGTATGTCATCACTGCAACTCATCGTATGTAATTTCATTAAACATATTACAAAATTCGTACACACCTGCTGTTCCACTTTTAACAGGTGGATTTACAACCTTGGTTCCCACACCTACTACAGGTTTAGCCCCTGCACCAACTACAGGCTTAGCAGCAGTTGCCTGTTTCGCCGCAGCAGTAGCCAAGTCAGCCAAATGGTCCGACACAAACTTCAGTGCCTTCTCAGTGTGCGATACTATACGCTGAACAGCTTGTAGTTCATCTTCTTTTGGATATATTTCAGCATGTCGAGCAATTACATGTCGGTCATCACTCGAATCAGGACGGCGTACAGGCTGGGGGAAAAACTGCAAGATACAATGAATGAAGACGACTTAAATTCACAATGTATACATTACCCACAACTATCTCATTCCAGGAGCATAACCTACTATACCATATGTCAAATCCTCGTAGACAAACACTCGGCTTCCTGTTTTCTTCTTTCTGTTAGGCTGTGAACTCACGTCATGCAGAGGAAACATATCACGTATAAAGCAATTTTAATTTCATATTCAATTTAAATAAATGTCTAATGTCAAAATCAGACACTGTCAAAGTCGGATAATTATTTTTATGTCCGCTCAAAAGCTTTCTTCGTGTGTTAATAAAGCATAAAATTAAATGTCAAGATCTGACTGTACTGGCATATACCCTTTATTTTTCCAACTTGGGAGAGAAAGTTATAAAACCAATACCAGACATTCTAGTTTCAATCACAGTTGCTCAGATTCACAATGTAGGGAACAAAATGTTTCTTCAGTCATCGATCAAAGCGAGCTAGGTGTATCATCACTGCAACTGTTTGTAGTAAATATACAGATGTCTTAATGGTATAGTGAAACAGGAATATTTCTTAATTTAACTACCCTACTTATTTGTCTCTCTCTTACTTTATTTCTTCAATGTTACTAACAAATCAGTGCAACCTAAACAAAAGCATGTCACACAAATGATGTAAATGAGATGCAATTTGTTTGAAAACGTTTCTTTTTAATCTAACTGAAGATCACCACTGTAAATGTACATTAACTTCTTTCTTCAAGTTTAAGAGCATTTGCTAGACAACCATTGTTACATTTCTGTGATAAAAAATTCTTTCCTTCCAATATCATCAAGTACAAAGGCATTCCTCCGCCATTCCAATGCGACTAAAATGATAATACGAGTACCATGACCACCACCAAGATAATCACACCAAATTACGCATGAACTTGCATAATAAATACAATGCCACAAAGGAAACGGGCATTTGTCTGCCGGACCACAACTCGCGCACATATAAAGAGAAACTCACCATAAGTGGTGGCACACCTGGTCCAAAAGGTCTAGGTGGTGGTGGTGGTAAGCCTCGAGGATCTCTTCCGTAACGACGGTACCATTCGAAGTACTCCACTTCCTCTTCATATCGACGGCGCTCCTCCCAGTACATCCTTTCTTCCTCTTCCATCATCCTGCACATTAACGAAATAAACTATGTAAGCAACATACCGCACCATAAGATCATAAACAAATAAGCAGCAAACAGAAGTTAAACAACAGGGTAGATGGGGATTATGCAGCAAAGAATTATAATTTAGCTCATTTTTCATGACAATATCATCTTCACAGCAACACACTTCCTGCTACACTGCACAAAATCCTTGAAACTATGTCATTTATTTTAAACTGGCATAAAAAAATTCAACAAGTTGCCATTACTTTGTGTTTATAGTCACACCAAACTCTCTTATGTCATTTGCCCTTCATCTACTTATAACGTAGTCTATTTGCCAAAGAGAACGCTGTATTGTAACATTATATGAAATAAGACCAGGCTGAACATGTCCACTGCATAACGCAAAGGGAGACGCGCTTCTGAGGTATTGGTAACGTTAATGAAACCCACTCACTTCTTCAGACAGTGTTCAATGCAAAGCCCAGAGATATATATATATATAGGTACAGGTTAATTAACTAAACATTCTTTAGTCTGTCTGCACCTTACACATGATTACAAATAATAATATATGTAAACTGATTCCAAGAGAATCCTAGAGATCTCATCTTTATTCAAGCACAAATTATTATAGGTAAACACGCATACGCTTCACACCTTTCCTCATCACGGCGTCTCCAGTACTCATCCCTCATCTGCTGCCTCCTCAGTTTCTCTTCCTGAAGCTTCCGCTGCCGTAGAGAGGGTTTCACATCCACAACCAATTCTGGATTCACCTTTTTCTTGTACTGAAGCCGGTGACGACGACCTTTCATGTGCATTTCCTTTGCGTTTGGGTCATTAAATCGGCATTCACACAATTTGCAGTTAAAACTGATTACTTTACCTAATGGGATTAATAAGAACATTTTTACTGTAAAAATATCAACGCAAATCAAACATAACAAAAGAGATGGAATTATACAAACTCTTGTTA